GCCAGATATAGGAGATACTGCCATAGAGAGATTTCTGAGTCAATCAGCTACATGGTAGGTAAATGAGATAAAGCAAATTAAATACAAAAACAGAGGTGTGTACTAAGTTAGTAGAAAGATAAAATAGTAGGGAAGTGATCGAGGGATAATGAATACTTAATTTTTTCTTCCTTCTATTGGAAATTGATTTGATGGCACGTATTGCTAGAGTACACTGCACAAATGAGAGGATAAGCGTTTAATGTGAGAGGCTGATACAGAAATATTTCTGTCTTCATGCATTGAAATGCTTTTTATCTTCAAAACTTCGAATTTCACAGCCAGTGAAAGGGTCGTGAATTTTAAACAGAATTCATGAAATGTATTTGTGATTTGTAAGTGCATACAGGGATTCCCGAATACCTAAAATTTTGGAATAATTTAGAACTCAGATTAAAAGGGTTTCATAGAAGAGAAGCTTTAATCTGAAGATTTTTATCAACCACCATATTTCATTATTTGGGGTGTGCGATAGACTTACCTCCACGTGGTGCACCCTGGGCAACGTATATTCATACGGCAAAAAAGTCTATTAACTGGCAGTTGACTTCTCACTTCAAACTACCCTCAACCCATTGTATGTCATATTCGACTACTTCCACATTACTCACCTCACCTTTTTCTACCTTCGTCTTTGAAGCACTCTTCTATTCCCCCCCCCCTCGACTATTTTTCCCACTTTGATGTTCCTTACCCTATGTGAAGACTGAAGTCAACTAAAGGGCTAATGATAACCATCAAGACGGCTGCCATTTGATATAAATAAATAAATATTTCATAATTTTATAATAAATCATAATAATCATACTTCTGAAGGCAGTTTGGGTAAGTGAACTTTACTGAAATAGTCCTTAGAATAACTTCTACCTTTTGCAGAAAAAATGCTTTATTAATTTTCGTGGTCACTTACCTTTCAGCCTCTATCGTGTTTGCGCTTGTTACCGATTGGGCGTTATCCATACGTTTTTATATTCTAGTTTATTACTTTCTACTTATTATTAACAAGTAGATGTATTTTAAACTTCCCGTATCATACTTGCAGCTTTACGCAAAAATTGGCCCCCTCTCCCAAGCTTCTGCCCCTGCTCTCCTTGATTTTATCAAAATATTGATTTGGACATCAATGCGGAGTTTCGCCAATTAGTTACCTATGGTTATTACATTTGGATATCCTACGCCGCTCTTCTGGCCCTCAATCTCCTTGGTGGAGTTGTGTATTTTGCAAGTTCCTCAATTCCCTCAAGCGGAACACTTTTTGGAGTCGCTATTATCGTATTTCTTCTTTGTGTTCCTCTTTCCTATATTTGTTGGTTCCGGCCTCTCTACAAGGCATTCAAGTAAGTCGTCATTATCACAATGCTGTGCCATTGCAATAATTTGATTAGATTCCTCTTGGCAGTTTTGAGTACTTCTATTAATAGAGTGACACTATGCTTGTTGTTGTCATTATGCACTTATATTTTTCGAAATCCATTCACTGATATTTTGTTAAAACCAGTCCTACCGTGATTGATCCATTGTACATACATGCCAAAGAGCATTAACTTTTAGCACTCATATTGGTGTAAAAGATGAACTAGCCACTCTTTAGTTAAATTTATTTGTTAAAAATTGGCCAACTAACTTTCATACTGAAAATAACAGTTGAATATATAGATGTCTAGTTAATGATATTACATTTTCAAAGTGGAGAGAAGGTGGAATTTGGGTATTTACATTCAAATTTGAAGGTGATATTTTATCTCTAAAAGTGACTGTGTTCTCTTCTTGACTAGAGATGTCAGAGTGAGTGAATTGCAACTGAGTTTAGTCTGGATTTAGACTTGTACAGACAAAGTTGCATTCATAACGATACTTTTAGCAAAATTAACTTTCACTGCTTGGACATAGGGATGATTGTAGTAAAATCAGTAATGATCTGAATTACTCTTAAAAATGTCAGTTCTACTTCTCCATCTGCACATATCTGCTTTCTCTACCTTTTTAGTTATTTTTGCTTTACATACCGAGATTTTGTGTTAACTGGTGTCCACAAGTAAGAATGAATAAGTGGGCCACCAGAGATATAATTTTGTCTTCTATACTGCCAAGCCCTATAAAATTCTTTGTGTGGAGGTGCAGATTTAACGTTCGGAATAAATAACTATGGAAAGATTTATGGTAGTACAAAAGTTACTTTTATATTTTCCTAAGATTTGAAGGCTGATGTTTCTCCTAATGAGTAGTGTTTCTATATTTAATTTGCTTGCCTAAATGGATTATCAAAACGGGGGTGAAGGTGCCACTTTTAGGGTATGACGTCGCGAGTGGATACGCCCTAAAATATTCTTCGATTACTCTCTTGAAATAATTAAATTGTCACTTTGATTCCTTTTTCTAGTACAAGTTTGGGTCTTATGTTCTTGTTTAAGCTTAATTTCTGGTCTAACACTGGGACGTATTTTTTGTGATCAAATACCGTTTTCTACACAGAGCGTGATTCCTTGTTTTTATAATAAATAGTGTAGATATTTGTTACAAATATGATTTGAACATGAAGATGGGTTTTCCATTTACTAGATAGAAGGGTGTTTTTCCTGAAAAGTGATGATATTTCTGAGTCTTCAGTTTTCTATTACCTTTAGGATATATGAGCAGTTTATTTCACCTGAGGAGTCGTTTTTATGCCAATCGGAGACAGTTTCGCTTATTTCAATGACCAGAAGTTTGAAATCTTTTAGCTTCAGGGTCATGTGAGAAGAAAGTTACCATCTGATACATCATTAAAAACCTTTAGAGGAACTTGCTTTTCTGTTCCCCCCCCCCCCACCCCTCTGTATGTCAAGCATTTTAAGCCCTCATATGCTGTGTTTACAGAGTGTTCTAGAATCTACGAGATTGTACTTGCTATCTCTTACTATCCACAGTACTTGCAATAAGGAGCAGGAATGATCCTTAAGTTCCTCTCATCTCACTTCCTTTTCACATATTCGCTTGTTTCATCTGCCTTTAGATTGATGCTAAGTACTATGCGCACCTTTACACCTATTTCTCGGGCTAATATTCTTTTTTCTTCTCCTCCTCCTCCTCTTTAGATCCAATAGTTCGGCCAATTTCTTCATTTTCTTCTTTGTCTTCTTCGCACAATGTATTGTTATTCTCATCCAATTTCTGGGGATCACAAGTTGGGGAACCTGGTAGTTTTTCCCGCATATTTATATCTCCCCATTACCTCAAATGCTTATCTTGTTGCTTTTTTTCGCTTTCCCACAGCGGAATTTTGGTGGGTTTGTATGCAGTTAAAACAGGCTACGGTGCTGGCGGTTTCATACTCTTTATCGCCTGTCTCTTTGGAGTGGAGCTTGCAGCCTGTGCCTACTACTTCATTCTAGTGAGTTTTGCTAAGGGTGTGGTTTGATATTACAGTCCAGCTTTTATTCTTTTTTTTCTCTTTTTACTTACGCATGGGGTGGTGAGATCATTTTGTGTGAAAGGCTAATATTAGGGCTCAGCGCATCATTTGAGACTTCGCTTTGAAGTCTAATTGACTTGCGCCGAATAATTCCTGATTGAGGAGGGCCCAAGGTAATGACTGAATTCTTTATTGGCCTTTAAATTAAAATTCAAGCAGATTAATTGAGGATATTTGGTAAAAGTAGAGGTTAAAATTGTAGCACCAAAAGTTCTAAATGATTAAAGTATCGACAGATATTTATTTATTTATAACAAGTGGCAGGTGTATTGATAGTTGCCATTAGTCCTTTAGTTGACTTTGGGCTTCACAGAGGGGAGGAACGTCAAAGTCAAAAGAAATTCGAAGGGGGGTTGGGGGAGGGAAGAGTGATTCACAGATGTAGAGACACCGAGANCAAGATAGAGGAAAAGGTAAGCTGAGGTGAATACTGTTGTAGTGATCGAATATGTCAAGCAGTCGGGTCATGGTAGTTTGAAGTCAGATGTCAATTGGTGGTTTATAGATTTTATGCCTTATGAGTATACATTACATAGGGAGCACCACGTGGAAGTGAGTCTATTGTGCACCCTAGTATCGACAGGTATAGTTCGTTGCATTCAAATGCTTCCTTATCAGAATTTCTAATCTTAATCCATGATGTCTTGGTGTGAGTTCACACTCTAAAGGTTCAGATCGGTAGATTGATAACTCGGCCATACTGCCTCTATATGTCTAACGTCTCTGCTGGAGCTAGTGGGCTGGTATCGATGTTGGATTGCCGAATTGGGAACTTTCGGAGCAAATGACCAGATCTCATAAGCATCGTCTCTCGTGTAATTCATATCTGGCAGTGGAATAATTCCGCTACTGGAATTATTGCCTAAACAGCATGCCAAACACTTTCCCAGATGGGTACCTAATGGTCTTGTGGTGGTTGTCTAAAATTAAAACAGTGACTGTTTTTCGTTATATCAGGGGTGGCATTTTCTTCAAATTATTTACTGATAATTGGCCAGTTAATAGTTTATTTATATCAAATGGCTGGCTTTATGATATTTATCATTAGCCCTTAGTTGACTTCAGGCTTCACAGAGGGGAAGGAACATCAAATTGAAAAAAAGTCGAGAGGGGAGGGGGAACAGAAGTGTTTCAAAGATGAAAGAGACAAACACAAAGGTAGAACAAAGGTGAGGTGAGTACTGTAGAAATAGTCGAATATGGCATAGAGTGAGGTGATGGTAGTTTGAAATGAGAAGTCAACTGCCAGTTAATAGACTTTTTTGCCGTATGAATATACGTTGTCCAGGGTGCACCACGTGGAGGTAAGTCTATCGCACACACCAGCCAGTTAATAGTAATAGTAATATTTTCTACTCGTTCATGCTTTATAGGTGCATCGAGTATATCGATCAACGGGAGCAAGCTTCGGCAAGGCTCGTGATGAATTAACCACTACCTTGGCAACCAACCCCCTGGTACGCAATGTTGGTATGACTGCAGCTCGGGAGGCTTTTGTTGGACCGCAATTCGGTTCTACTGATGCTCGTTATTAAGTCTATCGCTTAATGCCATTACCCTCCACCACAATTCCATATTCATTGTCTTCTCATTGTTGTTCACCCATTGTGTCCTTGTCATGATTTTGAGTTCGGCGGTCAGTATTACTCTGCCACCTTGTGCATAAACTCGACTTGTGTCATTCTGTGAATTACACAGCATCCCTTACTTCGTCTTTTAGTAGACTTCTCCACAATCTAATTTATCTTGATTTTCTGTCTGCATTAAAGCTTAAGTTACTAACACCGATTGTTATTTGCTCTTCTTTCGTAATGTGGATTATGAGTATTAGAGTTGAGTAAATTAGCTATTAGGAGCATTAATACGAAGGTAAATAGAATCAGAGGACTTAGAAGATAGTCATTAATGCTATAAAGAGGTCCAATCACACTTAGGTTTGGCCATAGGGTCACTAAATCTATAGGGTAGGTATGTGGTTAACATGGTCTTCAGCCAACTGTGGTGTTGATGAATAGCAGGCACAGACAATGCTCAAATTACTGGCTATCACTAACATCCACTGAGTGATCTCCAGCTGTTCCGGAAATCTGTTAAGGCTTGCACTCATTTATTGAGCAGAAGAGCGAGTAGTATTTGATAGCTGATAATAAAAGACATCTCTCACAAAGGGGTGCCACTTTAATTTTGTGAATGACGGCGTATCTTTATTGGCAGTGCCATATTAGGCATTGAATGTCATTCAACTTTCTATACTTCTATCATTTCTATTTCTCAGCAAGAACACGTGTTCGTAGTTTATTAATAAATTGCCTCATTTGTTAGTCCGTCATTTTAAACAACGAAGTGTAAATCTACTACAAGACTTATCAAGTCACAAATAGGCAAATATTATTGTAAAGGAAGTGATAACTTTTATTATTAGATTTTTATTATTATTAGATTATTGCTATTGAATTTCAAGGTATTTAGATATCTGGATGAAAATGTTAAGGACCTGATTCAAATAAGCATATTTCTGTGTGTTGGTAAGTCAGTTTAAACGCAATGAAAGGATCAAAGTTGGAGGACAAGGTGTGTCCTAAGAGGCTTTTTTCTGCTTTAGGAGTCTGTAGGCCACTTCTCGATTACCCTTGGCCTCAATGAGCGCCTCGACAGAATCATCAAAAGGAAATTTTCCCATATTAATAAGAGTTCGTAGGTTAGCCTCCACAATATTTTTTTCACATCCACCTATGTTCGTTATCTTTTCAACTGCATTAATAAATTCTTTAGTCTCTCCTCTTCAATTAAACGAAAAAGCAATCAATGTAAGTATTGTGCATTCAAAAATATTTTTTTATAACACAAAGCTTACTTGTTTGCTTGCGCCGCTTTAAAAGCCTCATTGTCATTATCGGAAGATACTTCACCTGAAAAATGAGCAATTACCATGATCGTAACACGGGATCAGAATACTCGGATGGTTTCTAGTAAAGACGTACCTGCATGACGATAACCACCATTGCTTCCATGAGATTAAGATGTACATTAAAATGAGTTAATTTTTTTAATTATTTCACAATTTTATATTGGTAAGCAACTTACTCCTCCGTTGGTTGTCCGGGAGGGCCACTTGTTGACTAAAGTTTTTAGAATGTGGTTGATGGAGGAAATGGAACCTACCCTTGCTGAAGTTGCTGGTGGCTGGTTTTTTGCTACAGTTAAAAAATGACTTTAAGCATTACTTCATAAAAATGGCCACCAGCTTTTGAATTGTTGATACGATCCACTTACCATTCCCGAAATTGTTTGCATTAAAGCTATGGAGATAAGAGGTCATTTCATAAACAGGGGAAAATTATTACTTCTTTAAGAGGTTCTTTTTTGCTTACCCTGAGGGGTAAATATTCTCCCCGATTCTCACTTAAAACGAAAAAAGTGCGGTTTCAACTGAAATCAAGTAACTTGAATCGAGGAGTTTATTTCACATTAGACGATCTATCAGTTTCGTAATTAATATGGTGACACACTTTTATGGAAGCATAGTAATATATATCGATAAACCACTTGTGCTCCAAATCGAGTGCCCAGTGTTTGAGAGCCGTTGAGAAGTTTTCTTGCATGTAGATAATTGACCCTACTGCGTTGCTCAACGGAGAATTTTAGATCGGCAGCGGTGTTTTTAAAGAGTGCTTCCTATTCCTTTGAAACTTTAAGCGAATTGGCTTGGATGAGCCACTAATGAGGTTCCACAATCTTTCCGATCTACTCTACACTAACCATTAAACTATTCTAAGATTGACTTCCACAAATATCTTAATTTGATTTCTTCTAATGAGGCCGGTGAGTTTCTCTCTCACCAACTTCATAGATGCATAAACTTGATAGAATTATTAGCGTTTGCTTTACAAACTTGTTCCACATTTAAAATGATGAATATGGCGATAAAGAAATGAGAATGCCGACTCACCACATCCAGGAGGAGTAGTAAAAATGCTATAAAACATCAATGAAGACGGATCAGAAAACATCGACTACGTTTGATATCAAGTTCATTTTTCTAAAACACTGAATTATAAACTTACTTGGAGACACCTAAGAAGCGTAGATGATAGTTTATTAAGTTTTAACTTCAAATTATAAGAAGATACGAATAAAGTTACCTCCATTTCTACAAAAATTGGAACAAATTAAGTTATGCCCATTTGGCCTTTGTTAGTAATTTGAAATTATCCAAACTTACCGATGGGGTTCATTTGCAGGTAAGGGAGGCTCCTATAATTTACAATTAAATAGTCCATCTATTAGAATGCTAATATTAACGGACGCCTATTTTGGTAATACCCGAAATTAATAAAAAATGTAGGCTACTCTACCCTCTCACAAAAAATTATGGACTTTATAAAAATTAATTTGCTATTCAGCAAAGCTTAAGGAATTTACACGAAACTTGCAACTTCAGAAATAAATAGAAAAATGCCAATAAAATCTAACTTACAATATTGGCTGCACAGCATAAAATGTCTGCTTTGCAGACAAAACACTTTCCAGATGTCTAAAATTGCAAAAGGTGAAACGTCAAAATATATGAAATTCCACGTACTTTACTTCAAATGATTATAGAATTCTGTGATAATACTTACTGAAGCCGCCGTACTGTGCTAAAAGCAAAATTCAGCATTTCAAAAATACCAATGATGATTTTTTCTGATGCGAAAGCAAAAATACACTTCAAAATTGCATGCGAGATAATAGAACTGTGAACAAACAATATTGATTATGCACGCTTATAGGTGATTCAAATCCAATAAAAAGGTCGTATTCCATCACTTCCATTTTTCCCTAAACTCAAATGGCTATCCGTATTAGGAGATTTTCTGAACGTTAACATAGTTGATATTCATATTGACCACGGTCATACTGGCTAATTTTCACGGATGCTCTTTTAGCATTTATTAAATTTTGGAAAGACAAGGCTCTGGATCAAGTAGAAGGTAATAACTTAAACAAAATATGATAGAACATACAATCTAATCCTAATTGCTTTTAAGCGGTTTAATTTTATCAACTAGATGAATTCAATTGATCTCCCGGGCACACTGTGAGTGTATTAGCTTTTAATTATTCTACCTCAAGAATGATTTTGAATTTTTTAAATTTAATGATTGTTCAAGCAGAAGTAAAGGAACAATCGATACAAAACTATCCTCTTGTCTAAATTTACCAAAATTTCTTTGTAACATGCACGACAACAGGAATGCCCACAGGGCTCCATTCGAGTATTAGCGGAATTCTTAAAGCATTTTCGACATGTTTCTCCAGATGGATTTTGTATTGAGGGTGCAATCTGTTTGCACAAATCAGAAAAGTCGTCGATGCTGTCCTGTCCACGCGGATAGAGATACCTACAATTTTTGAAACGTGACAACTAGACGACAACGTATTATATGCTTTTGCGTTAATATCGGTTCTGAGCTTACAATCCCTGCTGATGACCATAATTTATAGAGAAGATGATTAACCAGTCGTAGGACATGGCTTGAAGAATTTCAAGGTTCGAGCTAACATAGGCAACACTCCAAAAACCTGATTTGCTCGAGCTGATACGAAAGATGTAGCTTAATGAAAAAGAACGATTGTTATGATTACGAATTCAAAAATTTAAAGAAGATATTAAATCAATGTTCCATTTGACTCACCTTCCAGGCCTTTTACAAGACGCCAGCGTGTCAAACGATGAATTGTAAGTTCCAAGTTTTAGATATCCTGGATGGAAAATTATTCTGCCAAATACTGCAATTAGATTAGCACTATCTCCAAAAAGTCTAGAGGATGGAGCGAATAATTAGATGAACATTTTACCTAGTGAATAAATCAAAGCCGTATTTTGATATATATTCTGTAGATGTAAAGCCTATCGTTTCCAAAAATTGAGATTTGAAATTGCCAACTTCAGGAAAGGACATGCTAAATTTATCGTAAAATTCGCTAATTGTGGTGAACAGTCTAAAATTAGTAAAAAAGGTTGATTGAATTTGTATTTTAGCAATGATCCCTACTCAGAGTTAAAGTTCATGCTCCACCATTCTTCTGCAAAATGTCTACCAAAAGTCTGATTGAAATTTATTTTTCCACTTGGAAAGAAATATTTGATTTCCATATTTCTGAACAATTAAAACGTTAATATAAAATATATAGTGTAAACTCACAAATGATGGAAAAGGTGAGTGTAGCGAAGCAATGAATCCTTTAAAGGGCAATTGACTTCACCTTTCATTTGGGATTCGAAACCCTTCATCATAGATGAAAGAGATTTCTTCAGAGCTTTCAGATATTCTCTAAGAGTTTTGTTTTCTTGCCTCGGTTGCGAACCGAGTTCAATTGCATTTAATGAAGCTTTTAATGCGCATAATTTTTTGAGAGCATCATCTAAATATTTGCTCGAAGATGCTAACTGATTGTTAAGGGAATCCTGTTTACATTGGATCTTCTGATAAGTTTTTTCAACACAGTTGTTAATTTGTTTCAAATCAAAATTTCCGTGAATCATTTTAGCTAAAATGCACAAAATGAAAAATTATAATACGTTTTGAACCGTTAATTTGATAAATGTGACTTCGTAAAAAGAGATTATAATCTCAATAATCGATGAGATGGGTTAAATTATATAATCCACACATTAACTAAACACGTAAAGTTAGTCACAATAAATACTAGGGTCTTCAAGTAAATTTATAGAACTCTCAAATATTAAGGCAAATCCTGAAAATTGTGAGATTTCATTTTTCTTCAATAACCCATTTCATATTACCTCACGATGTCCTAGAAAGTGCTTAGTGATTAAATAAAACAACACAAAATAATGCTACATGCTATAAAATGCTGATTTTTAAAACAAATAAGAAGGTTAATTATTAAGAACTTTCTTTATAAAATTATTATTTTTACGAATTTATCCTTAATTTTGTAGTACTTTCCTACAAAATAAAAATTATATTAAATATCGACGAATGTTAAGAAAAGCCAAAACCTTAAATCTTCATTTCTTGTTTTCCACAATTTCTTAGTTTGGAAACTTTACTATCAAAACCATCGCAGTGTGAGTTATTTGGTTCACTGAAATATATCAGCTGACCAAGAAGGAGTCTGCTAAGTTTTATACAATGGCGATAATTGTCAGTATTGAGAAAACTTAGTTCATTTCTCGCTATATATGGAGATTTGAATTACTTTTAACACATTTTTTACATGAAAGATCCAAGGAGAAGTGTATATTATTTATATTCTTTTATGAAATATTTAAAGTACGTATAAGAAGTGATGATATCATTAAATATTCTTAATCAAAGCAAAACGTTGGTTTCGACCATTGGTGGATATCTATTTTCGCAAAGTTTAACATGAAGGCTTCTTTTCAATGGAAATATTAATAATAAATAGGCAAGATTAATCCGTTTACCATTATATAGAATAATATGGTCGACAACAATTTAGGGAGTTTCAAGGTGCGAAAACATCAATAAGTATTAACTATCTTGACGCTTACAATTGAATCCATGCCTGTTCCCCCAATTTTCCACCTTAGTGTCTTCCACGTGCATTGGCTACAAATTTTTAAAATATCCGTTTAATTATTTCCCTTCTAAAAATGGATATATTCTGAATGTAATATCACAAGTTTACATGTGAAATTAAAGAGATTTCATAAAAATTCATGAAAATATTTCTTTTATTATGTATGGAAAAAAGACGACAAGATGGACATTTAATGAAAAAACATTCATTAGATGGAACCCAAATGTATTCTACAAGGACAACTTACAGGGTCACATCAATTACTAATTGACATATTAAAGCGAATAAGCAATATTAAATCCGAAAAGTAATAACTCGTGGATATGCTAAATAACTAAAGAATTTTAATTTGATTTATGAAAGAATTATTGTAATTATTGGTGATAAGTTGCAAGGATATCATCAAATGAAGATCAAAAATCCATGAGTCACACTGCAGAGTAAAGGAATCGGGAGCGAAAATGAAAGAAGAATAGTGATGAAAAAATCTACTTTTACACGTGCGATTATCCTAAAATAAGCACTTATGAATTTTTTAGTAGTAGTAATAGTTGGTAGTCTTTTCCAACTACCAGAAGAACTAAACACTTTAAACAATCATATCTGATCAGAGTAGTTAATACTAATTAACTCGATTTCGTGAACGCTCATGATTGAACTCCCCCTTTTCTGTTATTTAATTGATGTATTAATTTATGTGCTAATTGATGAATTGAGGGCCATATGTCATGGTCGTGTTTGTCCCTAGTAGTATTGAGGTTACTTTTTGGCCAGAACTTGATTGAAGTGTCAGTATTATAATAAACCAATTAACAACCATCAACTTTAAGAAATAGATATTCCATTTATTAAACATAATGAAATTGAAGTGAATTTGATAAATTATTTTGATATTTTGAGTTGATGTCGTTTCTGATCTTACAATCCCTGTTGATGACCACAGTTTGTAGAGACGTTGATTAGCCAGTCGTAGAACATGACTTGAAGAATTTCAAGGCTCGAGCTAACATAGGCAACACTCCAAAAACCTGATTCGCTCGAGCTGATACGAAAGATGCAGCTTAATGAAAATTTCATTCATCATTCTAAAAGAAATTAATTCAACGCTTCATTCGACTCAACCTCCAGGCTCTAATAGACGTTATGTTTTAATCTATAATGTTGGAAGTAGTGTGTTAAATTTTTACTTTGATTAATTTATTATTAAGTAAGAACAAATGCAAATATACACAATGTTTTCTTTCAATTTATTTGGGTTCATAATATGTCAATATTAAGATAGACACAAACTTTACACCATACTTACTATTAAATTCACTGTTCTGTGTGCCAAGTAATTTATTATAAGATCAATAAGAATTAGCTGTCTTGATGCTTGAAGTTTAATATATGTCCTTACCCCTTATTTCCAAATTTTTAGCAATTTTGTTCATTTAATTTCTCTCTAGAAATCTAAAGAGTCTGAAGTTTATATCTCGAGCTTTACATGTTAAATTGAAGGATTGTCGAAAACTACGGAGAAATGTTTTTCCTATTATGTTTAGAAATAGACCAAAAGATGGAAATTTTATGGAAGAACAATCATTTGAGGGAATCCAAATGTATTTCACAACGATAATTTATAAGATTACCTCAATTACTATAAAAGCATTAAAATGAATTAACAAAATTGAATCAGTAAGAGTAATAATTATTGATCATACTAAATAAATATAAATCTAAACTCGACTTAAAGAAGTATTAGTGCTCTCGACTTTAAAATTGGACCCAAAATTTAGTTTTTACTGGTCAATGTAAATTTATTGAATTATTGGCGAGTATTTGAAATAATTTCCCAGATAGTTTTCCAAATATAGATCATTAAAATGTTTTAGATTCATAAATGCAAGGCTAATCCATATTATATTTATTATTTTTAGTAATGTCACTGTTTGATACAAATGTATCCGATACAGAAAATCGTTTCCTGTTTATAAGTTATTTCACTTTCTCTCTATTCGCTATTATATCATACTTTATCGCATTTGTAAGTCCAAACTGGATTAAAGCAATTTCTAAATCTGCTGCGCTATTCAACAGAATTGGTTTATGGACTGTGTGCTTTGATGGGTATATGCGTCCAAATCTTTATACCAAGTCATACTATGGATGCTTTTATATTTATTACATCGAATATGATCATATTCGTGATTGGTTGAATCCAAGTAAGAATAATTATTGAAATTCCATTTTGTAGTTTGGTTTTATATCATCCAGGTGATTGCTTCTGTTGGGCTCTTCGTCGAATCAATAATCTTATTCGTCCTGTTATGTCAAGTTACTGGTCGCTCTGTTATCGAATACATGCCTCTGACCAAGTGGCTAATGACTGGCCATTTTGTATCTGGTAAGAAGTGCATATAAATGTTAAATTTTGTAACACGAAACACGTTATTGTTTTAATACGAATGCATCTTAGGAGTTGCAATGCTCTGCACTGTACTGGGTTTTCTGTACGGGAGGTACAATAGTATGTGGATTCCGTATCCAAGGTACAATAAGCTTTCTTGGGGCTTCGTGGCAGGCATAATCAGCTTGATATTCATTCTGATAAGTTTCTTCACAATGCTTGTCTTCTACCTCAAAATCCACTCGAAATCGGTGAAAGCAAGAATTCTTCGTTATAGAAACGCGGAAAATGTAGGAGAAGATGATGATGACGATGATAATGTTCCAGAGGATGATGATAGAAACGTCACCGATGAGATTGAGCGACTGGCATCCACTTCGGCATCTCAAATGTACTCGTCTCAACCGGGGGGTTATCTGCAACCACGTATAGCGGGATCGCAATTTCATGCTGATTCTGTTGTGGTGGAAAATTTCGAGAATGAAGACTATGATGAGGATGGAATATATCCTTACGAAAGTTAAGGCCTTCAAAAACTTATTGTCAATGTTAAAAAATATATTTCAGTTTGTCTCCCTTAAAGGGTTTTAAATATCTCGGCCTTCTGTTCATTTTAAAATATGCATATTTTATATTTGCCTAATGAATCATAATTTAATATTTTAGTAATTCTTTCAGGTATTATTTAACAAAGGTGCTTCCCCTGGCAAAAGTTCACTGATTGCTCTTCGATACTCTGCCGCATTTATGGATTAGTAGATCTTCATAATTTGCAATAAACGTGTTCAGTGTAATACGTCTGTTACATCCCTAGCTAAGCTGTAGCTCAGCTATTTCAAGGAGTCTAGCCAGATATAGGAGATACTGCCATAGAGAGATTTCTGAGTCAATCAGCTACATGGTAGGTAAATGAGATAAAGCAAATTAAATACAAAAACAGAGGTGTGTACTAAGTTAGTAGAAAGATAAAATAGTAGGGAAGTGATCGAGGGATAATGAATACTTAATTTTTTCTTCCTTCTATTGGAAATTGATTTGATGGCACGTATTGCTAGAGCACACTGCACAAATGAGAGGATAAGCGTTTAATGTGAGAGGCTGATACAGAAATATTTCTGTCTTTATGCATTGAAATGCTTTTTATCTTCAAAACTTCGAATTTCACAACCAATGAAAGGATCGAGAATTTTAAACAGAATTCATGAAATATATTTGTGATTTGTTAGTGCATATAGGGATTCCCGAATACCTAAAATTTTGGAATAATTTAGAAGAGAAGCTTTAATCTGAAGATTTTTATCAACCACCATATTTCATTATTTTATAATAAATTAAGTTACATCCACCATAGCTTGATTTTCCATAGAAGAAAACAAAAAAGATGAATTTAACTATTGAGCGTAAACAATTACGAATTTTCTTTTTTATCATAAATGGGATGGATTTAAAAAAGAAGGTTTTATATATTTCATGAGTCAGTTAAAATTTGCACGGCACAATAATGAGCACTAACTTGAAGGTATAACATTTATTTTAATACATCTTTATTTTTTAATTAAACTATTTCCTTCAGGCCGAAATATATTTAAGGTAATTAGGTTATAATATACTAATCGGTAAATTAAAAGAACCCATCGCATTAACTTGGGGTTGCTAATTGCTCTTAAGCATATGAGGCAATGAAAATAAAAGTTACTATTATATGTTTAGAATATAATATTATTAAATTTAGCTCTATGAAATCAATCACTTCATTACAATTTTGATTTTCGTCCTATCAGTATACATTAATAAATTTGTTGAACAATAAGGAACGTGGAATCAGTAAATTACCTATTAATCACAATCCGAAGTTTTAATCTTTAATTTTGACGCTTAACTAATTCCTCTCAACTTCTTTGTCTGCCTTTCTATCTTTTCATTCAATCCCAAATATGCTTGGTACCCGCGTCCAGATTAGCATTTGGTTTTCTTACTCAGTAAGGATTGAACTTTCCTATTACCTTTTATTAGTTGAAAAGTTCCATGACATGGTAACTGACTTAATTCGGTCCTACTCCTGAAGCTGCTTTTTATGAACATAGCTTCTTTAGTGTAGTCAAATATAAATTGTCATTAAATACCTTAAATACCTTTATTTCTTCCATACATAAACTGACATGAATAAAAGAGAAAGAATGACTTATTGCCAAAAATGACAACTAAAAATATAAATTCCATTTGTTCCTAGGGAATTAACAAATCAAATTAACTCAGTCAAAGTAGCAGCGATTTCGAGCTGTGATATTACTGGCGTAGTAATTAAATGATACAGTACTTTTATGAAAGGCTTCTTGAACAAATCACCAGTTTGAGTGTACTGATTGATTAAAAAGTTAGTTTTTAGATCAATGACAACCACTTGAATGTTAAATTCAACACAGTTATAAAATACAAAGCTAGCACCATCAATAATGGGAAGTTAATCATAGATTTGAATTTAGGGTAAACTTTTTTATAAAATTAGCCTTTTCAATGTTATTGTTTAAACGTGTCGATTTTTAATTTACTTGACGCGAAGTCTTCCCTTCGGGTAATATAAAATGAAAAAAATAATCAGTCCAAGTGGATGTGATGTACTAGACCCATTAGTATGACAAGCTTTATAAATAATTGCTAAGAAAATACGTTTTCATAGATCCCAAACGTTACATTATAAAAACGGCTACAGAGTGCCTGATCCATATCCAACAGTAGGCATAGGTGGTTATCCGCTCAAAGAAAATCAGTTAACAGAAGACGAACTGGAAGAAATAATTAACTATCACCCTATTTTAACTTATACGCGCACAAGTCCAGTTCCTGTTCAAGAGTTCATTCCTAGTCATGTTGCACTAGATAAAAAATTACTACGGTTCTATGGACATTTTAAGGAGACTGTTCCTAATTCTCCAAATGAGCGTGAACGGATTCGAAAAGTTACTATTTGCTATTACCTAGAAGATGATACTATGCATATTTATGAACCAATTCAGTTAAATAGTGGTTTAATACAAGGTTAGTGGGAAGTGATAATTATTATAGCCTTTCGATTAACATCAAACAATGTATTTCCTCACCACTAGGATGGATACTAAAAAGGCAAAAGATTCCAAAAAATGATGTTGGTGAATTTTACACTTGGAAGGACCTTAATGTTAATATAGACATTCCCATTTATGGTAGAACCTATCATTTATCAAGCTGTGACGTATTCACAAAAGTAATTTTTTGCTTTCTACATGCTAAATACTCGTTTTTTTATATCGTAACTTTCCATTCTGTGTATAGGATTTCTTTGAAAGTGAAGGAATGGTTTTAAATGAATTTGATCCATCAGAAGATGTAAATGACTCAAAATGTATGGGACTTATCAAGAGCGCATCTAATTGCTTTGAATTGAAATCGAGGAGGAAGTTTTATGAAGCGGATCGTCAAGTACTGCGCTTTTATGCAGTATGGGATGATCGAAGGGAAATGTTCGGTGATCTACGCAAGTTGGCCATTCTAGTTAGCCCCCATTTATTTTATAACAACATCTTAAAGCAATTCATGTGCCTCAAATTTTTCTCATATTTAGTATTACCTAACTGATGGTACGATGGAGGTAATCGAATTTCATTCACCCAATGATGGTCGAGATCCTTGCCCCACACTAATTCGAAGACATAAAATCCCTAAAGACCGCGACGACATTCCCGAGACGTTTCCATCTGTCTGCATGGAATTATCAGGTAAGTTACTCATTTTTCTGAGCCATCAACGCTTCAGGATTGCTTTAATTAAGTAAGTTGGTTTTTAGACAAAGAAGTGAAAGATTTCTACTGTCCAAATGACTTAATGGTCGGCAAAACTGTCGTTATATATGGAAGAGCTTTTCTACTCTATGACTGTGATGATTTCACCAGAGCCTGGTATAACATGAATTTTGGGATCACCGATTTTCAACCAATAGATATTGGGCAAAAGGTGAGCGTGGCCTCGGCACTTTATCTTGACCAGTATTTTCGAAATGTTTACGAAGCTTTTAATACTATAAGCCCCTAGAACCAACAGAAAAAATATCCTGTAGGTCAACGAAATTCAAACACTTTAATCCGAATGAAGGTTGTGAAAAATCTTTACGTTACGGTGCAAAACTAGTAAGTTCCTTCAGTAGATGGAAAGTAGTTTGATCAACCAATGTGTAATTTACTTCTTGCTTTACAGGTTGGTGCTCCTCAAAATGACAACTCCCGTAAATTCATAATTACCTACCGCTTAGTAGACGATATGATACAAATTTGGGAAACTCCAGTCAAAAATTCTGGGTTCCCCGGTGGCACATTTCTTAAGAGAACAAGGTTCAATTGAGTAGATTCTTGCTATATACATATATATATATATATATATATATATATATATATATGTGTGTGTGTGTGTGTGTGTGTGTGTGTGTGTGTGTGTGTGTGTGTGTGCATAATTTCTGGAATAATAATTACTTATTATTCTATATTTATGATATTTGACAAAATTTATTAAAATATTTTCTGCCTTAATGGTTTTATTTTTGTTAACAGAGTCTTGAAACCGGAAAGCGACAAAGAAAAGCCAGAATACTATGGTCCGAGGGACTTCTATATTGGCGCCGTAATTGATATATTTGGAACGCATTTTATTATAACCGAAGTGGATAAATATGTGTTAAAATATGCGGAATCGCACAGAGATATTTTCTCTGACGACCTGATTGAAAATCTCTCCTCTGGCGCGAGGTTGGCTGCAGATCCCAAAGGCAATAATGGTAGCAGGATCTGCAAAAGAAGCACTGCAGCAAATATTCAGAGATCGTAAGTACTCCTTCCTTATATGCTAAAACCACAACAAGTCGTAAAAGGTGGAGGGTTAATGACCCAATAGAGGGGAATGCAAAGTTGGGTTGTCACAGGTTTGCTACTGAATTCGTGTTTTTTGGGGTTCAAGTGATAAACAGTGTTTCTCAACGGAAAGGCTATTATTTAAATTTCTTTATGAAACTGAGTAAATTAATGCCTATAATTTCTATGGCTAATTGTTCGACAGACCAATTTGAAAAGTTTATAGCTTCATTGCAATATGCTTGTTCTGAATATGACCAAAATTACGTAATAATGGAAGGTAGCATCATTTAAAACACCCATAACTATAAAAATTAATAACTCATAACGCAAAAAGGTGTTATTAACATTGTTGTTTAGAGTTAGTTTGTTAGTTATTGGTTGTGTCACACCCAATTAAAAATATCCATAATAAATTATAACAGGCATACAATAGTTGCGGAGTTACTAGAGGGGAAAAAGAGATTCCTTTGAGATCGAGATCTCATAGAATGACCGCTTTTCGATAAGTAATTTTGGTAGCCATTGTTCAGCAAGTCAAGACCAGTGAAGATTAGACTTCTTTAATTATTATTATTTCTTATGGTGTGAGTAATTGATTGAGTAATTGTGAGCATTTCCAGTATGGAGGAGGAATTAATAAGTCAAAACATCCGGGGCCTTATTTTATTGTAATAATTGACTCATTGACTTGTTCAAGTTTTTTTAGTGGTAATGCTTCCATTGCCATTTTGACATGAATGGACTTCCGAATTCATACGTGAGAGTACGTCCACAATGTTTCGATCTTAATGACCCTTTGGTTTTAAATTTCGGTATGTTTGTATCTCATTACTCTCAGAAACAGGTAGACGAGGTTTCAAACGCTTTAACCTATTTGCATGTTAACGTTGTACATGCAATTTCATGAAAATTGATAGTTAAATAATTTCTACTTTATTAAATAAGTAATATATAATTTGCCAAAATTTGCAATGGACACGAGGTCTTGAGAGTATATTGACATTTTAAGTTCATTATTTTGCATTTTCATTATTTCATCTCCGCGTTGATACCAAACTTTTTCTGTCGATTCTCATTGCTATCTCCTACAAAATACCCTCTTCACCAATCTTTGCATTAATGCAATAAATTTTCACTTAAAAACAAAAGCCATGATTGATCAGTATATTTCTTCGACGAACCCACCGTAGAAAGGAATCTAGAAGACCGCCCTCCCCAAAACTTAATAAGCGAATGTTCACAGCCTAGCCATTATTCACTTCGACTAATGGGGGGACGTGTGCTGTTGAGTCCTGTATAACGACTTATAATAGCTTGTTTCCTAAGTCAAATAAACCCTTAATTTTTTTCACCTTACATTTCATATGCTCCGTACTATGGGTGCTTTATAAATTATATTACAAGATGAAAATTATTTATAAATTATTCATTTAATAGACCGGGAGACGTTGACCAAATAGTTGACGAAATGTCGGTACAGTTTAGAAAGTTGGGCATTACCGACGAGAGAAGTTTGGGAGCCCTCTTCTTGAAGTATAACAAGGGCCGAGTTGGTCACGTGGATGTTAATGGTCTGAGGGGCCTTTGCAGAAAATTCCAGTTTCCAGAAGACGAGGATATTTTGAATCGAGTAAGCGTTTCTGTCACTTTTTTGCTTTAATAGTTCGAGTTTCTATTTTTATCGGTTGTGAAGAGCAAAAACGATATTAAGAAGGTCAAAATTAGTTATATTTAAACAATATTAGCTACATTTTGATAAATGTTACTAATAAAACCAGTAATATCAGTAAAGATCATGCATATTTTATTTTTTGTCAAGGAGTCATTGAACATATTTTAATTGCATTAAGACTGCATGCTTATCTATCTTGCTTTCAAACATTTTCCAATTTTTTGCCGTTAATGCTCAGAACTGCGCTTGAGACTGTGGACAGAAGCGATAACTTCGACCCCCTGAGAAGATCTCATGAAAATTCTATGCTGGGAATTCCTTCAAGCATTTAATTCTGTGCTTGAATCCGAGTATAATAGTGGCTGAATCCCTATATATATAAAATTGATTTGTAGTCTTAATAAAATGTAGGATATCGCATAGAGAATTTGCACTAGTTGCAGCATAGTACCACACGACCCAAAATCATTTTATCTAAACAGGGCTCTTGTTTTCGAGTCGATATTGCTCACGCATTGCTAAAATAATATGAACCAAGAAATTATAATAAAATTGGACCCGCCAGAGGGCTACCATCGTCTGGACTCGGATATTTTCCAAAACATTTCACCCCTATTAGTAAGCAACGGGAACAAGCGTAGATTTGGCGATTTCAGGAAGGCGAATTCTTATCGATCGGCCAGAACACCAATGATAATAAGAATGCAATCGTCTCAAAAGGCTTTATTTTCGATAAAACTAATGAATGTATTTGAAATCTAGGCTTCTATATTCGTCTTTAAGGCTTTGTTTGCAGGATAAACTATTTAAAGTAGAGTAATTAATCTCTTATTGTCTACGACACTGACGAGACTAAACAAAGAATTATAAAAGTGTATTTTAAGTTTTAATGGCAATATCAAATCATTTTACTTTAACGTTAATTCTTCAAATACTGCTTGATATGTTTACGAAAGAATTCTGATTAGTTTTCCAATGTTCTTTGTAGTTCTTGGACCGATACGGTACTGATGGTCAGATGACACACCAAGAGTTCCTAGCCTTTATCTTGAACAAAGAGAAGCCAAAAATCAACACTGCCGATGCTTGTGTTAACTCCAAATGCTGTGTTTGAGTAGAAAGTCCAACGCACTTCTAGAATAGCATCTATCACAATTAACTTCCCCTAAATGAAATCTTGTTGAGAGAAGCATTGTATTTTGTGTTTCAACTCTAGACCTAGGCAGAGATAATGACCATTGTGTTGCTTACTCAAGTCATCGATTGTTAGGACAGAATTAGAGAACTAGATAAATTTTATGAAAATGCAAGTAAATGATTTGTACAACAGTTATAGCTGAAAACTTCCAACTATAGCTCTACAAATCATCCTGTCTGAGAATATCGAATGGTACGGGCTATAGAATGCAAAATTATGGACCCAAGTGAGCCTGTTCGTAAAGATGCTAAATGGAGCTGTTCGTTATAACCCTATGATAGTGATCTGAGATTAAAACTTGAATCATGACCGCTTTATATACTTCTGATTACATTGACAAAAAATGATGTGTGGAGTATTTCTATTTCAGAATTATTAATTTGCAAATCCAGAAATTACTTCAGTTTTTTTTGCTATTTTAGCAGTTCTGTTTTCTGATAGAATTGCTGGACGAGTACTTCGTGCAGGCGATTGTTGTTTATTACACGAGTGTTTAAGTTCGCTGTAACTCTGACATCCTTTAGTTGCTGATCCCGAAAATAACTAGAGCACATGTAGGTAGCACTTATTAAAGATCACTATTTTTCAGTTTATATACAAAAACTTCTTTCCGATTTGTTAACAATAAACCTAAGTGAGATTCACTAATGCAAACAAGTCTAGGCTGGAATGGTATTTCTTGGTTGCTTTGAAGCATACCAATTGGCCTCAGAGCTCATATTTTCTGGCTTTGTTTCTTAATGCCCTCTGTCTCGGCTAAATTCTCCTACCGTAATAAATATTCTTCAGCAACTATATGAAAAGCAGTTTGAGTACTTATATGGAGTACCCAATACTTCCTAGATTTATTCATATCAAATGGCAGGCGTTTTGATAATTATCATTAGCCCTTTAGCTGACATAGGGCTTCACAAAGAGGAGGAAGAACATCAAAGTGACAAAAACTGACATAGGGCTTCACAGGGGGGGAGGGAGGAACATTAGCGCCACAAAAAGTAGAGAGGGGGAACCGAAGAGTGATTCACAGATGTAGAAGAGACAGTCGTAAAGATAGAGAAAAAGGGAAGGTGAGTACTGTGAAGTGGTCGAATAAGACAATAGTGTCGGGTCATGGTAGTTTGATGTCAACTGCCGTTTTATATACTTTTAATCGTATGAGTATACATTGCCCAGGGTGCACCACGTGGAGGTAAGTCTACCGCACACCCCATACTACCAAGATCGATTAAGGGAATCACATTTGTCATGTAATATTCCCGAATTTGTAGCCGCTCGTGCAGATAGCTCTCACCCAATCAGCAATCGAGCTTATGGTACGTAGAACAACGTTAATTGTAATTAATGACTAAGCACGTGGGTGGCTGCAAACACATGAAACGAACGCTTTGCTAATTTCGGGGAAATTCTTGTACTAGAGGTTTTAGCAAAAATGCTCTATAAGGTTTAGTCAAAGCTTATTTCCAAACATTTATTACCATGATTTTCCGAAGATCCACCCAGAGTGGTTAAAAGAGAAATTTCATTTCATGAAACTATTTCTGTGTAATCAAATAACCGCCCACCCGGATAAGCTCCCACGGAAGCTAATCGGGATGGGTGTACTTTCGGAAAACCCCGGTAATTCTGAAGCCTTTTGTATTTCATCCAGAAAGAAAAAATGAAGATTCATTACTTTCGGTATGTAAAGCGGTCGTAACTGAATCAGAGCAGCAGAAAAGTCAGGGCATCAAAGTAATCTTAATTAGCTTGAATACTTGTTTAATTGGTTTGTCCGCTTCTTAATTTTTTGAGATCAAAATTGCATTATTTGCCGATTAGATGTCTGAGTGAAATCCAGTACTCAATGTTAAGGGATAATTGATTACTGGGGTTAATTGCGTAGCCAATTATCTCGCCTCCCCCCCCCCCCATAAATTTGCCTCTTCATCCATAAGGCACTAAATGTACGAATATTAACCACCGATTGGCTGGAAGGCCTCTGAATAGACATTCGTACGTGCTCAATACGCGATCGAGAGCACGCGCACATTTTTTAATGCTCTATCGCGTCTTGAAAGCATTGCATAAGTCTATTCGAATCTCTTTTGATAAAGTGCTAGACACCACCCAATAACTGGGACTTAAATTAATATTGAATGGAAATGATTACCAAACATATTCCGTTACATACATGCGTAAAGCGAATTATTTAACATGTATTTCAATTAAACGCCTTGCTCTTATTACTCAGAAAGCTTGAGAAGTTCTTCTGGAAGTAATTCGTGAGATATAAGATTATCCTAATCTAAACTTCATCAAGCGTAATTAAAACAACAGTAATTCCGTGTAATGCCATTTTATTTTTCTGAGTTGTCCTGAAGATCATCCACTATAAAACAAACTATAATTCGTGATCTGTTCATCACTTTAAGTTGCAATTTGATGCCTGTGACGACAGGATGCTCCTAAATTGTAGATTATTAATCTGGAAATATTTTTCCCCCTTTTACCTTAACTGACCAATACCAATACGCCATTTTCCCGCATTTACTCAACTTTGATTGGTGATGTGACGTAATAATAAAAGTGCATTTTCGTATCTACTACTTCGCGTTGGCGTTCATTTATGTCGAAGTTCGAATTACGGTGATTCAACGTCTGGGGTGAGTGGTAATAGGCTATGAATAACAATTCTTTGTCGGTATTATAACCCTATGCGTGATTAATCATAAAGCCGTCATATTGTTAAATTTAAAGTGGAAAGTTCAATGCTAAAAATGTCCAATTGTGACCACTGCTTATAGAATTTGCTTTGGCTTTAAAAATTAGGTGCTAATAGTGACAAGTAAACATAGCCACTATTAGATTTGCAAATTTAGCTGGTGGGTCCAATTGGGATTTTTAGCAGAACGTCAATATAATTACGACAGGGAGACATTGGATGTTTCAAGTGGATCTTTGACATGTGTTTGCAGCATGATACACACTCAAATTTTAAAGTATTAATTGAGAGTTTCGCATCATTTTAATAGCTTTTTAATTAGTTCAATTAGGCTTGAGTGGAAGCGAGAACTGAAGTTTATTTCAGTGGGTCAAAGCCAAGAAACGATCAATCAAAATAGTCTATGCGATTGACAGTCATGTGGTGCTCAAGGTGTATATTTTAAGGAATCAGTCATAAAATAACATGATCTATTGCTAGACTTAATTGCCAGTCACTGATTGTTCTTCTTGTTAGCTTCCTTCATATCTCGTTCGACTAAGTTTATTAAGAGCAAATTGATTCCCTTCAACTCTTGCTTCTCACATTTGGGGAAAGGCTGTAACACTGTTCGCGTTAAGGAAATCCATTCGCTTTGTGAGAGGATTTTTAAGCCCAATAAAGTACCTTAATTGACAGGCTTAGTGCTTCTTTAGAGGCCTAATTCAAATTCATTAGCGTCAATTGGAACTCAGCAGTACTACTCTATACCCACCTTTCGATCCCCCAAAGTAGGCTACATACATTCGAAACTGGATGCCAATACCATTGCTCTATTTTCACAGTCATAGTGAGGTAGTTCAGAAATTTGTGCCGACCATAACTCATGGTCACAAGTGAAATAAACTCAAAGGGCTTCAATAAAAGGACGTGACAAAAAGTAAAAGCCAAAAAATCTTCCATTACCGCTACTTTCTAAGTATCAAGTGCCAAAAAGAGACGAAGGCACAAACCTTAATGCCCACTTTAAAAAGGCTGTTATTTAATAAGAGTAACCACTCAAAATCAATTGAACAAGAGAAGGAATTGGAGTGAACTAAAGCCAGATCAGCATTCGGTTGTAAGATGAGTATTTCGTAATTCTCATTTAATTGTTGAAGAGTTGATTGATTATATTTGCACATTTTTGTGATTCATTTTTAGCTACCATTAAAACCTTGAGGCCTATTACTCTATGATGCTTCCATTCATGCATACAACATTTTACGAGCTCTCCAAAAAAATGAGTGCATCTGCCGAGTCTGAGATCAAAAAAAATATTTAGGACAACTGGTAGTTAGGCGTCGCATTTTGGCCCCAAGGCATTAGGCCAGCAGTAGAGTGGTTGGAGGCAGAAGGTCTATTGGGAGCAATTTCTTTGGGACGAGTAGTGTGGTAGTCTTCGAGTGCCTATTGGTGAAGAGATAACAACGGATAATTTGTGATTATAGATGTACTTGAGGTTCAATCAGAGGGGACAAGAAGAGATGAAAAGGTGCTAGACGTTGCTTGTTGAAGAGACTGAGACAGTGCCAATCACTCAGGATATCCAGCGCTCCAGGTACCATGGAAGGCGTAGAAATCGGAGTACTGGAGATTTTAAATTAATAAAAAACCGGAGCAATTTAATAACTTCATTGACGCTCCTCGACAGACTTCCAGTAGTTTTGGTAGTCAATCATAATAGCTTTATCTAATCAACAAGGGGAGTAGTATAATATGAACTTCTTACAACACTAACTCCCTCTGCTCAAAGTCCTTCTTAATACGAATTTAAAAAAAGTTGCCTATAAAGAGAGGCGGTACTGGACCAGAAACGCAGCCAGCCGTTATGACCGAGTTGTTTTGGTTGCCGAACTGTTGTAACTATAGTTAAGCTCCTTTTTAATCTGCCCACAACCGCATTTCCAAGTTTACTCTGCGGATGGCGTGCATATGGGACAAACGTTAGCGACCCATTGGGTGCTTTCTGTGCTCTCTTCATTCATCCATTATTGACGTTTAGACACTGGAACTGTAATGCATCATGTTCCCAAAGTAATGAAATGTAACCACTGCTCCCTACCCCCCCCCCCCATCCACCCTATTTGCAGTTAAGTTGACACCAAAGGCTTTGCCAGGCTTATCTACTGTATGCAACTATTTCCTTTATTAACCCAACAAACATTGGTGGAATGTGTCATAAATAAATTCAAGAGCTTTCAGAAAACGCCAATCTTAGCTAATTCGATGATAGGCTGTTAATATTACGTTAACTAAGTTAAGTTGGAGAAAATATAACATATTATGTGATAAGAGGTCACTAAGGGGTAGTAAGAAGTACATAAGTTACAACTAAGACAAATTCGACGCATGATGAGACCGATTTGGGATTAAGAAGACAAAATAAAGGTTAAAATTATGCAGGAGGCAAAGGAAGGGGGTAGTGATGGGCCAGGGACTAAGTGCAACTAGACATCCTACAGATACTGAAATAAAACACCAGTCCCAAGCATGCGAATGGAGACAGACACTCCATATCTGAGGGAGAGGAGGAATAGATAGAGAGGATGAGAGAAGACAACGATGATGGTGGTGGCTTTATACAAACAAGTGCTTGGGCCTCGGATAAAATGAGATCGAATCAGCCCCCTTATCCCATAACCACTTCACAAACTGACGCCGTCTGTGACGACGCAGAATTGCTAGTAGTAGGGGATTGAACAGTGCTCCCATCTTCTCCAATTTCAGGACTAGAACCAGAGGGACTGTGGAAGAGAGATGTAATGGGTTCAAGACGACATAACGAAGACGAATTCGATTCCTCACTGCTGCAGCAACTTCCTTCCCCAGAAGCTTCTGCAGTTGAAGAAAACGTTTCGTTGAGAGAGGAGACAATCTGATGCTGTCCGTCGTCTTCTTGACGAATAACATCATCATCTTCACTATCTTCTTCGTATTCATCTTGGTATTCTTCATCTTCGTAGTCTTCATCCTCCGTGTTAAATAGAACGGAGGTATATTGGTGATTCTGGGTGAAAATAGTTTATATCAAATAACCGTAAAAAGGATTTGATAAAAGTCACCATTCAGTATCGTTAGCTTAGTCAGTCCTAGATGTTTAATTTTTACTGTCATGAATAGCATGTACACTTGTTGATCCAAAGACTATACGAGATCACCTTTGTCCAGTTGACAGTCAAGCGATCACTCAGCAATCATCATTGGTACACACCTAATGAACGAAATGATCAAGCACAGCGGTGAGGCCAAAGTAAGAGGAAGAACCCAGCTTCCTTCTCTGGGCGGTTCAATTATGTCATCCCCATACCCAAGGAGAGAGAGAGTCAAAAACACTTTATTAAATGGGCATAGTGGTTATTTTATTCACTTAATGAGCCAAATCGGAACCTCTTAATGCTAAAGGACGTAAAAAGTAAGTACAACTCTAGCTACGCTTACGATGAATTAACTGGTAATGATGTAGGTTATCTTTTCTAAAAAAAGTCTTTTCTGCTACGCAAATCCGAACTTACTTTTAAGATATCCAGACCCCAAATCATGTAGACTAGCATGACCTCTTATGACCTCGCCATAAAAGCTTCTAAAAGTGCATAAATTTGCCTCCCCATCCCCGAAGCCAAAAAAATTAGAAATCGATACTGGTCAAAAGCTCTTAGGACTCCGATCTGTTTTACTATGAACCGTTGAATTCTAAGCAATTGATTAGAAAAGCAAAAAAGCAAGAAATCTCAGACTGTTGAGATGACGATGAAGGCACTAATGAAATGCCTTCTCCCAAGCATTTCAATACAAGTGTAAGTTTGGTCGGGACTGACTGCCATCCAATATTCCATTTATATTGTTTCATAAAAGTTATTGAAAAGGCCGCTGAAAACAGTTTCCAACTCTCACTTCGGGTAGAGATCATCGTTGCCAGGAACCTCCCTGACAAAAACTTCGTAAACTATCATTCTTCTGTTGATTCGAATACAGCAGTATGAGCATTTACGACTATTGCAATCATAACCCTAATCTGCAAGACATTTGTTGAGCCGTTATAACACCATCCTCCAGGATATAAATTATTAGTGTCAATGTTTCATGACGTATATACAGAGAAGAGATGCCAGAAACCTTGTCTTCCTAGTCCTGCGATTTTGAAAATGAGCATAAAGCCTTAGCTGACAGGATGAGACCACATAATAGCAATAATCCTGCCCATTTTTATTAATCTAGGCAAATACAAGTGAAAAAGTCATAGTTAATTCAAATAGAAGCATATGTAAATATAAGAGACCTCTGTTGAACCGGATACCATCCAGTATGGGTAACAGTGCCACTATTATAAGCAGAGTTAGAGAAAAACTTCGCGTGTCTTCGTTGTGTAATAATGAGATTGAATTTTGTAATTGAAGGCAAGAAAGCGGTATTAAAAGCATTCCCAAGAGTCCTCCCCCCCCCCCCCCCCACTATCCAAACCTAGTTAACATTTCTGTTAATTGGGCTTCGAAGTTTAATTTTTTAAGATAGAAGACAATTAGCGAGCTATTGCACCATTACGGCTTAATAAAATAAATAGGAAAAGTTGCATAGTTAAATGAAACAAATAAGCAGCCAAAAATAATAACAGTGATACCACTGTAAACTGCCTTAATCTTTGCCCCTTATGAGTGAACGCCTAGTTCAACTAAGGATAAAATGATTTATAAAAATGGGATTGCGAAAAAAACAAACTTCAGGTCAACTCGAATAGCTGAAGAGCTATACGGGAGCCTGTGGTTTTATTTGTCAGATTTTCAGAATGTCACATTTAGGGTTATAGACTCCCCTAAACCGAACCGACCAATATAAATAGCAGAGACGATTTTAAAGGTCAAGAAATTCGGCAAATGCGGAAATTAAAAGGCAAGCTTACTCCTTCTTCAACTTCCAGTGAGGAGGGGACGGCGTTTGTAAAGGCGACGGAATCCACTGCAAGGTTATCTGACAACATGCCTTGTAGAGGCCTATTCCCACCCTCAGTATCTCCTTCATCAGTAAAATCACCTCTAGCAACCTCAAGACTATCTCGAATGCAGTTCATGCGATCCTGTTGGGCCTGCTGACCTTGGAGCTCTTGCAACAAGAGACGCACATAGCGGTCGTCCTGACAGTCACGACAACCACCGTTGGGTGCTGTTGCATTCAGAGCCTCCTCAATGCTCCTCCGTGAACATCCAGCCACTAAATATGATGAGTATGTTGAAGACGATGAAGACGAAATCTGACCATCTTCCAGATCCTACAAAGGACATAACAGCTATATTTAAATAGTTGATCCCTTATGCTTTTTTAGCTCTTGCATTTAACCCCATGCCCACCAACGAATTTTCGCCAAGAGGGAACAGAAAAGCAACAGATTTTATTTCTAGTCCCTATCTCGAGCAGAGCGGTCACGTTCTTATTGGCTAGAGTCGAGAGTATTATTCAAAATACAAAAATAATAACTTTACTGTTAAATGAAATTAGGCTAAACAGCTTTAGGAACTCTGTAGTTAAAAATGCCATCAACGCAAGGATATTATACGAAGATGAGTCAAAAGTTTACAGGCAAATTCCATTACTTATTTAACAAGTGATTACATTTTATTACGTAGACTCCATTGTTGCCTAAACACTTGCCATCTACATTTCCAACTGTAAATTCCCTCGTGGTAGAATTTTGCGGGTTGCCTCTAATACCTTCGGGCGTCTTTAAGATGTTCTTTCAGTCTGAGGGAGCTATTTCTAGACTATAAGGAGAATGTAGAAGTGTTTCCCAGTGAAATTCGTTCAGCAGGGCCCTGACAGATCTTGAAGAATGTGCAGAGGCATTGTTATGATGAAACAAGATTTAACTGAGAAGTTTCCGCGATGTATTTCAGCGAGGATATCTTCAACTCATTAAAACCTCTTCATAATAATTTGAGGTGACCGTTTCCTGTAACTCAAGGAAATCTATCTAGAAATTCTATTCAAAAAATATCGTCCATGACCTTCTTAACGGACCTATCATTTTTGAACTTGACTGACCCAGATGTTCCTTTCGAATGCCACCCTTTAAATAGAATTTTGTTTTCCAACTTAAATTATTATATCCAGAACTCATCTTCGGTAACAAAGCGCTTGAAATATTCTCATTTGCTTCCACCTTCGCCAAAGTTGCCGGAGAAAGTTCTGCTCTTTGGATTAGTTGCTGTTTCTACGACGCTTTGAAACCCACAGTGCATACTGAGAGCTCGCTCAAATCAATATCTTTTGTGAAAATTGAAAATGCTGATAAATGTGCGACTCCTACTCCATTGCCAATTTTCTCTATGGCAATTCATCCATCTTGTTCCACTAGGCTCTGAACAAGAGAAATTTTTCCTATTTTTCTTGCTATTGTGGGTCTCCCTCCGCGTGAGTCATCAAATTGCACTCTTCCCTCTTCAAGGCATTTAATTCAATCCTAAATGACTGCTCCATATAGCGTAGTCTCCATAAACCGGTTGTAAGGCTTCTATGATCTAAATATATTTGCAATCTAGTTAAGTTAAAAATTTTATGTTAGCTCTGATCTCAAAATTTGTTATTTGAAGTGTTAAAAACTGATAGCTATTTTGAGGTGTAATTTGTCTTGATCTTGACTTTACATAGAATGATCGGATAGGTGTATGTTGTTAAGGGAGCTGTAAAGACAGGCTTTGGCATGAGTAAACTGGTAAATCTTTATTCTATTTGAAGTTATGACATTTGGTGGAGAACTTGTCAACCCACCCTCATATTAAGATAAAGTAAGATTATTCCGTGTTCCGGAATAAATGTGAGTGATAAGGCCAACAGTAAACAAGGTGGAAAAACATAAAATTTGAATTTGAGTGTTAAACAATCATTAGTTAACTGAAGTAAAATTCTTAGATGCCTCTAATTTTCTTTCAGCATATTTTCGTCCATTCCCCCTAACCACGATCAGATTTATTGAAAACCGAATTCGGTTAATTTGACCCAATAAATAATGAAAAAAAGGAAGCGGAGGCTTTAGGTTTCACAAAAGACTTGATAAATCGTCATTTATTAGAAAGTTATTTCTAACGTTGGCATGAAGCAATTACCTGCCTGGAACTAGGTGGTGAGAGGCAAGCAAAATCCTAAAATCAATACATCAAATTCCCTTATCATCTATCCGAAATTACATTTGAAATAAGTATTTTCCCCCCCAATTGTGTATGTAATAGCTAAAACAAATAATTCATTGGGTTGAACTCAAAGAATTTTAGCAGCAAAAGCGAGTTAAAGAAAAGAGGATAGAGAATGGTAATAAGTAACAGCCTCTATTTCAGTGACCTGTGAGGAGGATATCACTGATAAGATATCATCACGAAATTAGTAAAGCGCCTTGTTTAATAAGTACTACCTAAAAACACCCTAAGAAAATATCCTTTTGAAGCTATCCAAACAAAACTACAATGTAATTATTTTGACCATTCACTTTGATGCGGTATTGTATGCATTGCAAAAGCAATGAAGGGGAGAGAGCCTTATTGTTGAGATACCGGTAGGAGGTATCATATTAATAATAAAATCTTACCACTTCAATTCCAGAATACTAAAAATAATCACCACTGTGAGCTTTCTCGATCTCTGTTATTGGAAATAGGCTCAAGTTTCGATCTACATAATTCGGTGTACGACTAGTATCGTCTCAAACAAACCAGGACTTGTTTTGCGAAATGGGTGATGGCGAAACGTGCTATTTAAAACTAAAATTTCAGGCAATAGATTTCAACTATAAGTTTCACAGAGAAGCAGAACAGTCATAGAAATATGAGTCTTTAATGAAATCGGTTTTAAATGAAAGCAAGTTTCCGACTTCTAACATTGTCTCTATCTTTAAAATGAATTGGGAAAGGAAAGGACAGCTATTTACATTTCAGCAGCAATGCACATTTAGAGAAGATCATGGGAATCTCTGAACGCCACTCGGACACTTCTAATATCATTGGAGAGTTAAAGGTCTTTAGTAAGACATTAAATTAAGCTTCTTCAATCCACTATGATCGAATTGCTCTCACTAAGTGATAGAATGAATGCCAAGAACTACCTCATTGTACCAACACTCATAAGTGTACTCATCTATGTTCCAGGATTGAAAGGATCAAAAACGTGATTAAATGTGACCTAAAACGCCTCTGTATATAATTACTTGGACAAAGAGATAACGAATCAACACAGAGAAGAAAAAAAGAAGAGAAAAAGATTTATGAAGCTATAGTCGTTTTGCACTGTAAATAAATGTTGTGTTAAACTGAATAATGAAAAAAATTAACGTTACTTAAAACTTCGGATGATGACTCGACTTCTACCGTATTAAGAAAGATATCATTGGAATAACCCCAAAATCAGAAGATTAAGAGAATAAAAACATGTAAAAAATAATTTTTCCACCAAATAAAAGCTTTTGAATTAAAATAAGAATTGTATGAGGATAATTCGCTTCCATGAAGTGCTAAGCATTCGAACAAGTTAGTTGCAATTTGATATTTATTAGCTAAGTGTCCCAAGCCTCACTCGGACCCTTGACTCATCAGAAATGTAAAAAACATTTACTATCTAAAAATGCACAACTCATATTATACCTCTACATTTTATGACTACTTTATTCGCACTATCGACACTAAGCTTTGACATAATTCCCACTAAATGCCCTATGAAAAGTAGCAATAGTATAGAGGCTGCATTAGAAAGCAACCTTTAAGCAAAGGAACGAATGGCTTACCTCTGAATCTGATTCAATAAATCGGGTTCGTTTAGCCCCTGAGGGGAAAGCGTTATCAGCTCTCTCCTCTGATTCTAGACGCAGACGGGTGTGAAGGTAGTGAGTTCGAACCCGCATGGGATTGAATTCTACCCGACCCTCGGGGTTGGCGCAATGGCGTGGACTAAGACAAACACAGGGAAAGCTGGCTCGATCCACTTGGCAGGGAATCCCATTGAGAGCGCACTCACAACTATATGGATCGCATACACCTCCGACGCAGGTGCAGCCACATTCGGTGCGACTTTTGCGAATCTCTTCACACTCCTGCTTCTCTGAAGAGTCGATCTTGGTAAGGCCTACAGTTGAAGAGCGCAATGAAATTCTGAATTAAACGCAAAATACATCAGTACTGAAAGAAACGGCTTGCTGAAAACTAGACTACATACAAATTAACTAATAGATCTGCTGATTGAGAAATTAATGATGAAGTAGGTTAAGGAAATAAAGAAAACCTATAGATTAGAGATTCAAAGCAAACAAAAATTCCAGAGAACTTTGACATAAAGAAATAACCTCTAAAGATTAAGGGTAAAATATAACAAGCTGGATCGCATAATTAAATATACACTGAAATAAGTAAAGAAATGCGGGAAAAAATTAAACTCGGAAATTAAGAAAATTTTAAAGAGATTATTAAAATACATTGATCATTTCAAGATTCAAGAAACAAAAGCCATGTAAGGCCGACATAATTAGCACAATTCTTACAGGATCAAAATGTAATATCGTCTTGTAAATAGATATTTAGACACTAGGAGGGAAAGTTGAACTAATGTAGAAATAAATACATTGATAAATACTGGAAAAGTATTTAAAGTGTTAATAATGGCGAATTATTTTGATAGAATAGAAAAATACAACAAATATACGGAAAACAAAGTCAGGTAGAGGGAAAGATACAAGACAATATTACGCAGTGGCTTAAAAACACGACTAGAAACAGGTAAAAAATAAAAACATCGAGCTCAATAACTATACTAGTACACATCAGATAGCCATAAGTGATAAAAATGGATTAGCATAATTTGAAGCGTAAATCTCATGTTTAGAAGCACTTACACATTTTAAAGCAAATAATAAAACCTAAAAGTTCGAACATTATATGTGACGCAGTAAAACGAATATAACCGGTTTAATGAAAGCGTACCAGCTTTTCGAAGCATAATGCGGCGTCTTTTAACGGGGAGGGGCTGAAGAAAATAGTATTCCTCAAGACCATCCAAAAAACCCAAATCTTCATCCCTTGGATTATCTGATACTTCTTGAGGTCGTTTTAGGTTACAACTCATAGACTCGGTTGAAATGCTGGAACTCTGTTCAGAGTCACCTTGTTGCGTCATCAATCGTTGCTGATGTTTAACACGAGACTCAAGCATACGGAACTGCTGAAATGATAAAAGAAGCTTTCCTTCAAGACAAAACCGAAGAAGGGCGGAGTGACGTTGGTGCTTACGCCGGGATTGATGATCACTAACAGAAACACACTCTTTATTCCAATGTTCACTAGCCATTCCGAGAGTTGACCCCCCCTGGCTGGGGACACAAGTAAATCCTTGAAGGCGATCGAAGTGGTAAAGATCAACAAGACCGAAAGAGACATGCCTATCGGATTTAGGCGAATTTTTAGGGATACCTCGATGCAAATATAAGGAATGATTATTCGGTACACCTGTAGTTTCATTTAAAGTATGAGGAATAGAAATGTTATTATATTCTTTGGCATTATCAACATTGTTCGATTTCGTATTAAAATGGGTGGAAGAGCCAGAGGACAAGTTCATACGATCAGAAATATCGAACATATTTAAGACGTTAGGTGAGCTCATGGAGTCGGACGATGACATGAAGAAGGCATTCTATAGAGAAAAAACAAAATGCAGAGAAAGAAGTTTTAGTCACGCTTTGAAATGCAAATAAACAAACATAACCACAAAGTATCAGCAAAAAAATCTCAATAAAATTAAAACATAAATAAGGCGAAATAATTAAGGAATCTTTTAAAAGCACTAATATGCTATAATACATGAAAACACGTACCGCTAATGACAATTAATAAAACCCAGGAACAAAATACTTTTTAACTGAGCCACATTTGGGTTTACGACCATATTAACAAAGATAAAGAGAAAATGTACAGATGAAATTAAATAAATTTGACTATTGCCAAAAAATTATTCATTTTACCTAAATTATAGAAATTTTTTCACAAAATGATATCGTTTTTGATTTAATTATTTTGCTGTGCTCTAACTACATCATTAAAATTCTGAAAAAATTAAATAAAAATTAATATAATATAATTATAAATAAAGAAAAAAATTTCAGCGCGTTATATTTTAGATCAAATCATCCCAAATCCATTGACCATATTTTGGTTGTGACTAGTCTGTGATTCTTATTTTAGTTCGAGAATGGCAGGTGGTTCTCAATATCCTAATGAAATGTTCAACGGTTGGCGTTATTATTTCAATACATATACTATAAAGGGACGCTCTACTGTACGCTTTGGAGTTTGACGTTAACGCGCTTTTGAAATAATTTATTTTTCCTTAAATATTTTCTTTTTCAGATTGTGTACACCACGTATGCCGCAACCGCTTTATTAGTCCTCGCCATTAATCGTAGGTCAAAGAAAAACAGAGCTATCCGCGAAGCCACTGAACAGTAATTGGACCCATTCGGCGTTTTGATAGTTGTAGATTTCATGAATATAATAACTCAAACATGAGTGTTTTTATTTCCGATGGTATTTATTACTTTCATTTATTCTTTTTCTCTATTTCTTTGTTGTTTTCTATTATTGAGCCTAAGTTCGTAATTTTTATTTCTGGTGGTAATTTATATGTCCAGGTTAATATCGTTGCTCCTCGCATTACTTTGGCAGTCGTTTCTTAAACATATGATCCTTGGCTTTTAACAGCCCTGCTCATGTTAGTAAAACATGGAGTTGCTTTGAGTGTTTAATTTAACTTTTTTAATTAGAATTTTATTGTTAGTACTCCCCACTTAACTAAATTTCTTAAAGTAGTAGAATTTACACTTCATTGCACTTTGCTTGATGAAAAATAGGCAAAGTGTGCTTAGAGGGATTCTCGTTGCGGCCTGCAAGATGATTATGGAAATACGATGACCGCCATCATGATTCCGTCGATCGTAAATGCTAATTCGTTTCTCGACTTTTATATTTCTAAATGGGCCTTCTCTTCTAAAATTCGCTCCCTGTCTACCCACCTTTTTCTCTCTCCTTCATGGAAAGAACTTTTGTCTCATTTGCGGTATGCTGTCGTTTTCTGTTTCCCAATAGCAAAACCATTGCCAATGTTAGAGCTTCATAAGTTGTTCTATTGACATTTGCTTCTCTACTTTCGACTCTTGAATGATAAATTCTCCAATAATAAATTTAAGAATGCTTGCTTAATAGGTAACTTGTGCATTGGGTTTAGCAAGTAGCGAAGTACTGTTATCGTTCTACTATTTTGCACCAATCACATTGAATGCAGTAATACGCACTTAGGCTGTTAGATTGAATTGAGGTGCCTGAGCTGGATAATAAGGTCTTATAAAGTGGTGGTGCAAAGCCAGGATAATTTTTTCAGTAAAAAATGTCGAATACGTATACGATCTCTGTTTGACGGATTCTTGATTAAAAGCCTCTGGCATTGAATGTGGCATTTGGTCAAAAAACAAAGAGGATACACCTGAGTTAGGTTGAAGGTAGAAGCTGACGCGTGGAGGCACGAGTTTGGTGATTCTGTCCATTGGGATTTTTCGGTGATAAATCTGGAAGAAAGTATTATGACGATAACAAAATTCTATATATGTATTTATAGTAGATGCGATAAATCTCAATTTCTATAAGCTTACCAACGTTTGCATTTTTTCATGATTTTAAATTTCCATCTAAGTTACTTTTGACAGATTTACAATGAGCTAGTCACAATGTTAATTAAACGCGCTACGACTAGATTATTCGGTGTTTTGAGTTGAACGATTTCTGCTCATATTGATTAATTATCAGTTAAATCTTCTTCTGAGGTGGGAAAAGTCGTGTCATTTCATTTTGAAGATCCACAATATGGCAGTTGGATTTATCGTGAGATAGCATTTCCTATTGTTATATGTTTTGCGAGGCCTGAATAAATAATGAATGCTTAGTGTGAATATTAGGGTGATTAATAATTTGATAGGCAAAAAACATCTCCTTCAATGACTAGAGTCTCTGCAGAAGACTAATAAACTGGCATAGTTACTCAATAAAATTTAGTCCCAGAAATGGGGGTAACAGTAAGTCATGTCTGCCCAAATGAATAAGTTCTAATAACATTTCCAAGCAGGTATTTTATATGAATTATGAGGTTTCAATTAATAATGATAATGGTTAATGTTTATCACGTTTGCTGAGTAACTAAACGCAAAGCCAAGATCTATGATCTTTTTCAGATTATAACGGAAAAGCGGGCGCTAAAAATAATGTTGATAAATGATAAATCGGATGTACTAGATATCTTTATAATAGTGTTCAGGCCTGATTTAGTATGTGTGGGGAACATGTCAGTAATTCAGAAATTTATGTAATTATCATTGTTATTTTATCCAATTTCAAATGTAATACTTGAATGGTAAAATAATATTAAAACATACGAATAATGATGGAATAATACTCTTATTATGATTTTGAGTGCCAAAGAAATTCTGTTGTTATTTACAGCGGTGATTTGTAATTTTATACTTACAAAAGTCTTAAGAACTTTTTATAAGAATATATAGGAAAAAATTATATACTTGCTGTTTATCTTGTCATTAGCAGAATCGAACAACCAATATCAGTTGAAGTGGTGTCTTCGGTTCTGATAGGTCGTGCGCTCCTGATATGGTGTCCTGGCGATTAACTCTGCTCTGTCTCTGCATTTTGGGTGTTGTTCATGCTAAAAAGGGCCCGAAGGTAACAGAAAAAGTCTATTTTGACATAACAATTGGAGGTAAACCCGAGGGGCGTATCGTCATTGGACTATTCGGTAAAACAGTGCCAAAAACGGTTGCAAACTTCAAGGCTTTTGCTGTGGGGCATGAAGTAGGCTATAACATTGTTTATTATTTTTTTCCATTTTAGAAAGATGGAAAGACGTATGGTTATACCGACAGCATTTTCCACCGTGTTATCAAAGATTTCATGATTCAGGGAGGCGATTTCACCAGAATGGACGGAACTGGTGGCTTCAGCATATACGGGGATAGATTTGAAGATGAAAATTTCAAGCTTAAACATGAGGGCAAGGGTTGGGTTTCCATGGCAAATGCTGGAAAAGATACCAATGGGAGTCAGTTCTTTATCACTCTGGCCAAAACTAGTTGGTTGGATGAACGGCACGTAGTGTTTGGTATAGTTCTCGAAGGGATGGTGAGTTTTCTTTTTCGTGATTCTAGTAATGTTGTCTCTCTAGGATGTGGTTGAAAAAATCGGAGCAACAAAAACTGATCAAAGGGATCGTCCCATTGATGAAGTGAAAATTGCCGCTTCCGGTGCCTTGATGGTGGAAGAGGAAATGAATGTTGAATTGTGACTTGAAAATGATGTCTTCCTGGTAGCATGCATAATTCTTGTATCACTGTTATCTCTCTTTGTCTTTGTAAGTCGCCGTCATACTTTTGTATTTTCAAAGTTGGGCTTTTGATTAACGTTAATATATTTCCACTTCTATTTGTTTTCTTGGACAGAATTGACTTTACTTTATTTTGTAAGTTACCTGTTGTATCAGTTTTTAGTTTTACTTAGCCTATGTAGCCCTTCCTTATTTGTATGGGATGATAATTATCCACCTCGTAGCTGTAAATTTCTCTTGATTTAAAACTTGCATCGGTTTTGCGGTTGGAATTATTTTCTTACCTAAACATATTTGGAATTTTAAATTGTGAAATTCCGCTGTCAAAATTGTCTTGTAAATTTACTATTGTTATTGCAATCCTCAACAAGTTTATCGTAATCGAGAGTAGACAAGTTAAACTTTTTTAAACTATATCGATTTTCGCTGAGGGGTTTTTACGTGGCCCTTCGGCGCAGCCCAATACGCACCTATCCGCTTTGATTTGACCAATCATATTAATCCACGTTGACTGTCGCGGCACACTTGCGTATGCCATGTTGCTTGTGGAGAAGTGGCACTTGTTCATTATATTTTGTAATGGAAAGTACCTAAATGATTATCAGTAAGTATACTGTTTTTAGATAATAGCCAAGTGTTTTTGTTTCGCGTGTATTATCCAATCAATATAATAAGCCTTTGTCTTCCCCATCTAACAGATCTGCTTTTGTTTATGCCACAATTTTCTAGGCTGTTAGAAGAGAGGGCCAATCAGAAACTTGTCCTAAATTAAGCCAATGCGAATTGTGTTCCTGTAGTTTCCTCCTCGGGTTGGGGCTTAACGTTGAACGAAATTAGGCTTTTATGACTATCGTTAGCATACTAAGATATTTAAGCTGGGTAGACGGGTGTGTGAGCCAAGAAATGTGGTTATATTTGATTCATTTGTGGATTTACTTATCTAGTCATAGGGAAGGTATCAAATGGTCAATAATCTCGGAGTACAAGCAATAAAGCCCGAGTTTTGCTCATGTTGACCGAAATTAGTTGAATTGATAACCTAATAATAATTAAGAGAGGCTATCTTCCATTAAGATATTCATGTCCCTCAGCCAATTAAGAGGGTTCAGAGCGCCTAAACATAGCATCAAGATCAACTGTCATTTTTTAGATTCAGTTCGCATTCTTAAACCCTCTTTAAAAAAATAAACTATTATAAATTACCACTCTATTCCCCCCTCTTGAATTTTTGTGACTTTGATTTTGCGCCCGAGATTTTTTATTTATTTCAAATGGTAGGCCATATGACTTCCAGCCTCACAGAGGAGAGGAACACCAGTCACAAATAGTGAAGATGGCGAACAGAAGAGTGATTCACAGGTGTAAAAGAGACAGGCAAAAAGGTAAGGTGAGTACTGTAAAGTGGTCGTATATGACATACAGTGGGATCATGGTGGTTTGAAGGCAGAAGTCAACTGCCGGTTTATATACTTTTAACCTTATGAGTAAACGTTTATCACGCACTCCGTGAAACTCGAAGTCAACTGAAGGGCTAATGATAACCATCATAACTCTGCCATTTTATATAAATGGCTCATTATATGTATGTTGCTATTTATTTTGGAAAAATTTGATATGTAATGAGTAATCACTGAATTGCACTGTGGCAGATTAAAACATTCCTAATTTTTACCCACAGCATAAGAATGTCATTATTTACTTAATCAGCAAATGACGTGCACACAAAGAAGGTTCATGGAAATCCAGTCAAATGCGCCAAATTGATGTTTCTATCAAAAGCAAACATGTTCTCACAGCATTTAAAGGAAATAAGGTGCTAACTTTAGGATTTCGTCTTTTTCTCATCAATTTCAGAATTTTCACTATAAGACTTTATGAATAGCACAGTGAATTTTAAAAGACATCTCATTTGCACAAATACCCACACCCATTATACATTTCTATCGAGCAAACAGTTATTTATGTACATAATGTTCCATATTTATTATCTCAAATCCCCCGTTATTATTTAGAGAAAAAACTGAATATAAAGGAGACATCCAAACATTGCTGCTTATTTAGCTCATCGCAGGCAACTCAAAGTAAATTACTACATTATGACCTTGCTCTTGATAGGTTACTTAATCATAAGAACAATTGGTGATTTGCAGTCTTGTTCCTAATGAAACACTTGAAGATCTACATCATGCGAGCATGTCTAGTTTGTAAAATAAAAGTTATCACTTGGTGACAATTATCTGAGGGAAATTTGATGAGCGAAATGTCTATCATCGAGCGTTCTTAAAATGTATAGACGTCTAAATACCAAATTTATCTGATGGGAAACAATTGAGGGCAATCATTATTTATTAAACATTGCTGGGAGAATAATTAATATGAGCACTAATTCATACATCATTATTGCTGTTCAAAATTTCGTGTGAAATTAAATAATATGAAGTAAATAGATTGTTCTATTAAGAATTTATATCGTCAATAATATTCTAATGCAATTTGACTTGCTAGGTAGCCTGATTCAAAGTTTTCGCAAAAACTGAGAGAAATTTACTTTTTCAACGCACAACGAAATACATATATAATTCGTAACAGAACAGAAAGCAATTTATCCCCTATTTCAAAACAAAATAAGTACATTTATCTTCTTAACAAAGGCGCGCATCTGAGCAATCGTTCTTTGGGTTTCCCCTTCCTTGAGGTGGAAGACCAAAAGCTTAAATATATAACAACTGAGAGAGAATATACCTGCTAAGTAAATTAAAATTTTTTGCGGCCGTTTTAGTCATAAATGTAAATAAAAGCATGTCATTTCGAATACCACATATGTAGTTCCTTGCACTCAGAAGAAGTAAAATTTTGATGTACGTGCTTATAATTGGAATATTGGATGCTGTTGCAAATAATCAGCAATCATAGAGTAGCTTTCTGTAAGCTCAAACTGAAAACATTTTTTATAAGATATTATTAAGGAATGACGGGCGATATGTTTAAAAGTAATATATTCCTAAACCTTTAATTAATTATGTTAATATTCAAATCACAATATGAGGCTTATGTTTACTTTCGTTAATCTACAAATAGACAAAAAATCTTATCAGGAATGTTTGTTATCTCCCGTTGCAAACCTTTTCTATACACGATATAGGAACAAGGAATTTCTGTTATTGAATTATAAAAAATCTTACAGAATTAAGACAAATTCATAATAGAAATAAAAGAAAAAATATTTATTAGAATCATATTAAACCATTCAAATGAACAAAAATAAATGACATAGGCATATGAAATTTTGTATTGATTTATTCTCCATTCAAACTGCCTATAAGAAAAATCAAAGTAACTATTCTAAATAAATAAAATGTTTTCTTAATTTTTTGTAAAATTAATAATATTTTAATTTGCTCTTCATGTTTTGCTATTGTTTAAACTCACATATCTCTCTGAGCCCTCACTACTTGTTAGGCGTGCAAGATGGTAGGTCTTTCGTGTTATGTTTTTATGGGTGATTTCTCTAGTCGAAAATAAAGGCAAAGAAGACCAGGAAGGCCAGAGGTCATGTTAGTCATGGTATGGGTCGTGTCGGAAAACACCGGAAGCACCCTGGTGGACGTGGTAACGCTGGCGGTGAGCATCATCATCGTATAAACTTCTGTAAGTACCATCCTGGTTACTTCGGTAAGATCGGTATGGACCACTACCATCTGAAGCGTAATCCTTACCACTGCCCCACAATCAACCTTGACAAGCTATGGTCTCTCGTGTCTGAACAGACTTACCAGAAGTACAAGAATTCCAATGATGGAAAGGCACCAGTGATCGATTGCGTTCGTAAGGGTTATTTCAAGGTTCTTGGCAAAGGAATCCTTCCTAAAATCCCTGTCATAGTGAAGGCCCGTTTCTTCTCAAGGAGAGCAGAAGAGAAGATTAAGTCTGTTGGTGGAGCTTGTATACTTACTGCCTAAATAAATTTATAAATCACTCGCGGATCTGAATTACTTTCCGTGTTAGTATTTGACTGCTTACGAAAAGGGTTAGATTATGCTAGTAATGTTTCGCCCATTTACATGCTTTATTTGCCATTCCTGGATTTGAAACTTTGGTATACTTATTGTTTTTTTTTGTTCTTTAATAATGGTTTTATCATGTTTTGCGGAGTATTGAAGCCTAATAGAGTAAATAATACCTTTAGTGGTAACTAGCATCAATAAAGCAATTAAATAGAATTTGTCAATCTATGTATGATTTATTGGTTACCCACTTGCTTTACAGTGGAAATCGTATTTTGGGGGTGATGAGGGCTTCTGTTAGCCTCCGGTAAATCCGTACTTTCTAAGCATTTTGTCTAAGTGGAAGCTCTTTGATAGATTTCTTTTGCCCTTTGAAGAGTGTGAGTTACAAACTTAGTGCCTTTTGCGTGTATGTGAGGCAGCGCTTGTGTTGCAGTCGAATGTCTTGTCTCTTTAGATATGACACAATGCATTTGTCCTATGGTTTCTAGATAAGTTGACGCCTATGAAACTTTATTTTACAATCGATGGGGTCAAAACGACGGATTCACTTGTATCGATTATTTCAAAGTTTTCTCGATTTCCATATGGGCAAATCGCGGAGGCATGCATAATTGGCCGTACAGTAGAAAGGCTGGAGTAGCAAGAAGTTGGTCAGCAGACACTGATTTCTTAGTTTAGGTCTTCGTGAGCATCGGAAGTGGTTAGTAGTGTTCTAATTGTTTCATCTTTATGGAAGACGGTATAATTTTTGATAAATTGGTCTTTAACCGACAGTAATTCCACAATGAGTGCAGCATCCAAAATTTGCAATTGACCCTACCTTTCATGCGGTTCTACAGTCTCAATACCATTGTTTCTAATAGCCTTACTACCTTGTAGTCGGCATCATTAGGGCAAGTGTTCTTGCTCTTTATAAAAAATAGCTTCACATATCTCTTTCGCGGCAACACCTTGTATTCCTTCATTCATAAGGAGAACAGACAAAGTTTTCACTGTTTCCGAAACAAAATAGCGTGTGTGATGCCTTTTTGACCACGCATTTTGCTCTGATAGGAAAGTGGACTTCAATATTGAAAGTGTTAGAAGTTCACCATTTGCAATTAACGTCCTTAGTGGTCATATGTGTACACACACATACCCATCCTGGATACAGAATGACCAAGCACACTTAAGGTACTTTTCATTTAAGGAATGCCAAAATGGGAGGATCTGCTAATTAAAGAAACAAATTGTCGGTGTCCCTACTATTTATTACCAAAAGAAACTTCAACATGAAATGCCTCATTTAACCTTTAACGCACAGCTCAAACCGATATTGTTTTTCACTTAACGGTATTTATAAATATGGCCCAATTTTAATAACTCATCGTGCTGGCTCCCACAACCAGCCTTACCAATCAACTCATCTTTCAGCACCCCAACAACAAATATCTATTTCAATTTATTCTTGCAACTGCAGCCCATTTAGCACTGTTATTTCCTTAAACCATACTAAATCTTTTCCTTTCTATTATATTTCCTTATTGCAGGTAGCTCTAGTCTTCATGACATAATTGCTATAGCTAGTAATAAAAAGTGGACCATGGAGAAAGCAATGTAGGAGAACATATCGTATCGACAAGAAGTGACTACACATTCAAATTAGAGGCAGTAGCAACTTAATAAATCAAGACAATATGCATTTAGCCAAGGTGATTGATGTAAAACAATTCCTACCGACATCTACATAAAATATCCTATAAAGAAAATTTATAAAAACAAGGCGATGGTTACGAGTCCAAGATTCCAAAACCCGTAGAATATTCCAGACAAGGAATAAACTCAATAAAAGGCCAAGTAGATCTTATTTCCCAAAATGAATAGCCTAAAAGAAAAGCCAATAATAAGAAATGGCAGCTAAATAAGATTCGTTGATCAAGAAACAAGAAAAATGCAAGATTATGTATCTATTCATACACTGGTAAAATACAATCAAAATCAGGAAAACTACAAGGACTTTTTGCGCTCGGAGTAGAATTTTTCGACCTAAAAGTTTAATTAGGGAAAAACGAGGCTCTTACTAATTTCTTTACGTAATCCCGTTCTGGTTTTGCTTTCTGTGAATCGGTTTTTTCTTGCACACTTTCAGCAGTATAAGGAGGCTTGATAACAGTATACTCCAGCACATGAATGGAGGGGTTTTTCCATCGCACTTGTAAATGTTCAGAAGCCGGGAGACTAATCAATACAAAAATAACAAAATTAACTCACGTCCTTGATAAGTCATCAAATAAATCTCTGACTTCCATCGGAACACCAGCTTCAAAAAGTTTTAAGCGCTCCTGTGCAGTTTTTTGATTTGATCGACTGCGTGCGGACACTTTGTCAAGATCGATCTCGGGGTATCGAACGTTTCCATTCTGCTTCGTCACCCGCACTTCTTTCACACTGTCGTGAGGAAAAAGATAAACGTCGAAAGCATTGTGGCCATTTTTTTTCGTAGGTTGCTCTAAAGAATATTAGTGTAACATAAATGCCTTACGAATAACGAAGTACTTTAAAACTTCATCAGAAAACAATATTTCTCCACTTAAATTTTTTCCATCATGTGATGTAAATTCTACATGATTGCCAATACGTAAATCTTTCACCATAGTGATAAATAGAAAAAACGATAAGGAGATGGTCACAAAAATATATTGCACGCGACTACGGCTGGTTAATTAAAACATTACACAAAATTACTTTATAAATCATCATTGCTCTTTTAAGAAAAAATTTAATAAAAATTTGGTTTATTATTTTTTTGAAAGTCTCGGTTAGCTAATAACATGTTTATTTAAAAAAGAAATAATTTTAAAGTTTTCTATACAATGATTTTTGATTTAATTAATTAATTTAAATGGGGAAATCGAAATTACTTATTTAATACTATTGCTCTTTTAGAGTTTGCTTCACAAGTTCACTTCTCTTTGGTATTATTAGCCTATACGTGGATGTTCTTAAGCGTTTTTTGTCATCCAATTCAATGGTTTGCATTTCCCAGATTGAAGTAATTATTTTAGAGGTCAAGATTGATTATTCGCAATTTCCTTCTAATTTTTATCCCCACCGGTGTTCTACTTTCTTTATTATGTTTTGTAATATTTCGCCTTCCTTCAATTCCAGAGTAAGTCAAACCAATATATTAATTTATTTTCTTTCCAGTGAACAACTTCAACATATTAAATTTCCCAGAAATTTGGACGAGCTAAAGTTGCTCGGCGCCACTCTTTTAGCATATAGAGGAGTATGTTATTGGCGAATTCTTCTCTCAATCACGATTGTTTTCATACTGTACGTTTTATGGATTATTTTACTCATTTTAATTTGCTTAATTTAAACTTTCCTCCAACTCGCCATTAGTCTTCAGTCTTTCATGATACCTGGTTCCGTTTTCTGCAGTATTTTACTTGGGTATCTTTACCCACTGCCATTGGCCCTGCTTGTCATCGCTTTTGTATGTTCATTTTTATGAAAAATTTTATGACCATTAGTGTTCAGCTGTTGGCGCATCCTGCTGTTATCTCATATTCGGATTTCTGGGGCGCCAGACGGTTCTAAAACTATTCCCCGATAAGATAGCTTCTTGTCATCAGTTGGTAAGATGTTTTTCCCGCTTCATTTCTTGTTATTTTCTTCTTTAGATGGGACGCTTTAAAAATATGATGGGTTTTACTATTTTTCTCTTTCGATTGAGTCCTATTGTTCCGAATTGGTTGGTCAATATTACTTCTCCATTAGTCGGTGTTCCTCTAGTTGATTTCTTTTTGGGAACATTTGTTGGTAAGTCTTCTTTCATGTATTTTATTTTTAAATTCATTTCACATGTTTGGACTATTTAAAAATTTTTACTGGATTAAAATTCTGATATGCTTTTAGGTGACTTTATTATGTTATGTTTTGTTATGTTATTTTCAAACATGAGCTTGCTTTTCCGAACTGGTGTGTTTTAAATGAAGTTTCCTTTTTTATATATTTAAAATAACTTAGGTTTATGGTGGAGATTATTGAAATTGCCATTGTTTTCTATCTCATTAAAATCCTTGGTATTCGATGCATGCTCTGAATCGAACTAAAAGGGGTAACTTATTCTCTAACCTCTTAGGTTGGTAATATCTAATTTTTCAATGTTCGTTGCGCTAATTGCATGCATCTTTAGTTTCTAACCTCAGATATTTCGTGACATCCATATAATGGATGAATAGCACATTGTTATCCATGATCTCCCTATTCGGAAGTTTTTGACATGCTCTCACTTCCACACGATCGGTGTATTCAACCGAATTTTTTGAGATGAGCGATGGAAATCGGGGAAATCACCGTGTACTTCAGGGCATATCTAGTGATATAAGTTGTTGGTTGTTAAAATGCCAGGTTCTCAAGTTTCGGTTATGGTCTACCCAAACGAAGTGCTGTTGACACTTTCCACTAGGCCTCTGGAAGTTCTTTTGGTAAAGAAACTTTTTAATTGTTGATTTGTCTTCCATTTACACTGACTGATTTTCAGTAAGTGCAAGTCTATCAAAGTCCAATTACTATTAACAATTGACAGGGTTGCAAATCTTGTATTTTGCAATTTAAGCTTTACAATCGGTTATTATTCTAGTTACTTTTTAGCATATGTCTTTGAAATGCGAAAATCAAAATCCGTATTGAAGTCGCGAATTATACAAGCAGGTATATTCATGTTCACGTTGCATTTTGTTTGGGAAGTGGGGAGCAAAACTTCAAGGTTTATAAATTCTTGGAGTCGTTGGTTGAGGCCTATTTTTAAAGATGATATAGGCGTTTTTGTTATTTGGTCAAGGTAGAGGGCTTTCATTTGCCCTTCCCCATCACCTGCCGGGTGCTTTTAAGCCATTTGGCTGGAGAAGAAATTATGCATAGGGTAGAACGGTTCTCTCTCTCTCATATTATCGACTTACTAGTTTTATGCACGTTTAATTCGTTATCGTTCGAAGAAATGCTGACTTACGTTCATTTTTTAGCTATCTTCGGATGGTGGTAGGTTGTCGTATCTTTCTCTCTATTTGTTTTACCTAGTCGTTCTTCTCAGCTAGTTTTGAAAATGTTTAATTATGACATTAAAAATTTACGCCTGTGAGGGCTTCCATTTGAGATTGGATATCTCCAATCATTACTTAAGTGCTACCATTGTATATCGATATGCTTGGTCCCTTTCAGGTGTTGTTCCGCTCTCCTTGTTCTTCGTTAAGGCAGGGACAATGCTCCAGGAGTTGACAGATATTGGTGTTACTTCTGTTGCCTCAGTTTATACTCTCGCATTATTTGCTGTGATCTCTATCGCGCCGATTCTCTTTCAAAATCAGATCAAAAACTTTTTATCTGTGTGATTGTTATGCTCTGTATTATCATTTCTTACTTTAATATATGCTATTTAAGTGTATTTGAGATAAAAGACTTTTCTTTCAGTTTTATTTGCTCATTCATACCGTGGTTCAGCTTAAATGAACTTCTTGAAAAAATGAATTTGAGGGTTCGAACGTACGAATGTGCTTATATGATAGATAATCATTTAAAGCTTATCTGTGGGTATTGCTAATCATCAAGTGAAAAAGACTTTATCTACCGAACTGAACCCGCCGATTGGAAAGCTTGAAGGTTTCCATTTTTTAATTCACAGATACTTATACCTTGATTTAACTCTGAAACATTAAATTTTTGATAGAGCCCCATCTCTGTTCCTTCGCGAGTTTATAAGATTGGAGAATTGCTTCTGTCTTGATTCTTCGATTGTAATTTTCAAGATAGAGTTACATTTTGTGCTGAATCGCGTTGAGTTTATTTACTAATAATGTAGTCGCGCACTTATTTTACAAACACACTCATGCTAACCATGCCCGGAGGTCATTATATATTGCGTCTGTCTTGTACTACATTTGTATGCCTTTTTAGCCATAGTAACAACCAACTCTACATTATCTATATGTGGGGTGCGCGATAGACTTATATCCACGTGGTGCACCCTGGACAACGTATACTCATACGGCAAAATAGTCTATTAATCGGCAGTTGACTTCTGACTACAAACTACCATGACCCGACTGTATGTCACACTCGACCACTTCCGCAGTACTTATCTCACTCCTTCTCTACCTTTGCGTCTGTCTCTTTTACATCTTTAAAACACTCTTCTGTTCCTCCCCCCCCCTCTCGACTTTTTTCGCTTTGATGTTCCTTCTCCTCTCTGTGAAACTTGAAGTCAACTAATGGGCTAATGATTACTATCAAAACGCCTGCCATTTGATATAAATAAATAAATAAACATTATCTATATGTGGGCTTAATGATGCTAATTTTATTAAGTGTGAAGCGCTTCATTTAAATCATTAAATAACAAATAGGTGTAACTAAACAAATGCATTCACTTACCACTCAGGTTTGCTGTGACAATATTTTGAATAAAAGCTCTACTAGCTGTGTGACTATTTCTACTACCCCATGGAGATAGTTTAACTAGTTCCATCCTTACTCAGATATTATTTATTTATTTCAAATGGCAGGCGTTTTGATAGTTATCATTAGCCATTTAGTTGAGGAGGAGAATTTGGAAGGGGGAATAGAAGAGTGATTCACAGATGTAAAAGAAACAGACAGTCACAAAGGCTCAGAAAGGGTAAGAAGAGTACTGTGATAGGGGTCGAATATGATATACAGTTGGGGTGAAGGTAGTTTGAAGTGAGAAGTTAACTGCCGGTTAATAGACTTTTTGCCGTATGATTATACGTTGCCCAGGGTGCGCCACGAGGAGGTAAGTCTATCCCACACTCCCCTTACCCAGATATTTTGCTATGGAGATTACTGAGGATAAGTCAAGGTTCATTTGTGTAGCGACCCACAACAGGCTTAATTGAAGGCGTTGTAATTGTTTCCCGCCATTTATTTAAAGATGCTTTGAAAAAATGAGATGAGATCAACATTGTCAATCATGATTCAATCAAAAATTAATCTAGTATCAAGTTTTTCATCACAAAAGACTGACTGCTTCCA